ATCACGCGACAAATTAGTCTTATTTATCATACATAATCTCATATCTGCTATGATAATTGATACTATTGAGGAATAAGAGTTAGTCCTTATCTATTAATAATCATTTTCAACGACAAAAGGGAATTTCGATACACAACAGATTCATTAGTCTACATCGCTGATTAAATTCAACAAGCTCTGTTAAGGCTAATTGAAAAACTTATTTACGTTGACAATACATTCCCTAATCTGTATTGTTCGGAAAAGAGGCTGCATCAACAAGTGTGAGATGTTGGGGTTGTCTATTATCAGCACCAGCATAGCGGACATCAGTCAACCAAACCATGTACGCGTCGTCTACTTTGTATGATACAAAATTGCTGTCATAACTTGAACACCACTAACCAATAAAGTTTGTTGATATCATAACTTCTGCACATCAAAACCTCATTTCGAGTATAAACGGGAGAATGGCAGTTGAAATGCTTCTCTCTCAACCGGCCAATGCGAGTTTTTATTAAAATAACCAACATTATGCAGCCATTTTGATTATTTACTATATTTTGTTTCCAATAAGACGCATGATGGACCTGATTAGGTGCTCTTTCATTTATATCAATAACGACAATAACTTTAGAGCAATGCATTAAATCGCATGTTTTTATGCATAACATTTAGGATAAAAGGAAAATTTTATCTGCTTTAGATTAAAGACTCTTATGACGTTGTTAGATAATGTAGAACAGAATGGCTATTTTCTCATGTAGCATAGCAGTGAGGACATTTTAGACAGATTTCTACTTTCATTCAATCAGAATAAAATAAATAAAAAGATCATACTGGAATTAACAGAGAATAGGTTATCAAGAAGATACGCAAACGAGTGATAAAGTAAAAATAAAAACAATTTTTGGATATGCCTTCGTTTGTAGAGTGATTGGGGGAAATCGGAAAGTGATGCTGACAAATCAGCATTTGCCGGCTGAAATAACTCTCACTTTGTGTGACCGGCAAGCATGTTTGCTAAATGTTAATAAATAATCTAACCATTACATACTCACATAATCTAAGATCCACAATTTGCAAAGCCAAATAA